AAATTAGAATTTATATTGTCATTTAGAAAAACTAAATTTGAGTATTATTCTGTAACTGAACATCTGTTTAAACCTCTTATGTTTTAAAACTTGTAAGCTCAGTCAGGATCTTGTAATGTCAATGAGATCCGATGTGTGTGTGTTAATGTTTAGCACATGTTTCTCTGTGTGCGTGTTGATCTCCAGGTGCTCCACTGTTTGACAGCTCCTCAAACTTCACAGACCCTCAGACGCTGCAGCTGCTGCAGCACAGTCAGAGACTCCTCAGTAACCTCAGCGCCATCTTCCACTGTCTGCTCAGTGAAGCTCAGGAGCTCACACAAAAAGGTCTGACGTCCACACACATGCAGAAGTAGTCCTGTTTTCATGTTGGTAAAATAAGGTTGACTTCCTTACAACTATATGAATGAACTTAGTGATTAAATTTTGTCTTTATTATTTTCTCATTTAGAAGTTTTTCGGTATAATTGATCAGTTTTTGATGCTTTTTTTTCACGTGTGTTTTGAAGGTCTTGCAGGTCTGATGAACAAGAACATGGTGTCCAGTCTCATTTCAAAGTACGCCCAGGTGGTTCTGTGGTTCTGCCGTACAGGCTTACTCCCAGAGGGCTCAGGTAAAGTGGAGCTTACTCAGACTGTCTGAGAGGAAAATGATTTGAAGGAACTCTTTTGTAAAATATTAATAATTTCCTACATTTGTAAAAAAACAATTTAAAGGAAACTGGTTTTCCATTAGCCACCTTGTATATGGCATTGGGAGTTATTGCTAACTCAACTTATTAACTAACTTTAAAAAGAAAATACAGACAGCATTATAAACAAGTAGGCCTGTCACGATAACAAATTTTGCTGGGCAATTAATTGTCTCAGAAATTATTGCGATAAACGATAATATTGTCTGGTGACCATTTTAAAACTAATATAATGAAAAAAGCGTAAGTAAGTACATCCTCTCAAAGATCGATAAACTTTAATTTTTAAAGAATATTTAACAAAGTGGACTCTCAGTCTAACAAAAAATGCACTTGAATAAAAAAAACAAAGAACAACAAAATGTAAATTAAACACCACACACAACTGAGACAGTAAATAAACAATATTAAAGAGCAGCATCTCTTTAGAGATGAAGCAAATTACACAGCCTGGTGAGGACCCACTGTTTCTTATGGGGACTTAAGCCCAGTTCACATCCTAAGTAAAGTTTAGGCTAGGTTTAGGGTCAAATAGTTAATAGAAAATACCGGTAAATGAATGAAAGTCAATGCAAAGTCCCCAGGAGGATAGAAGAACAAACGTGTGTGTGAGGAGGGGACAGCGAGGACATAAGCAGAGCACTGCAGGGGAGGAAATCGGTTCAGAGTTTTCCTCATGAGTTGCTGGGACAGCTACTGTTTTTTGGGTGTTTTGTTAAAACACAGATGGTGCGTTTAAGTTTCCTGTTTTAGGGAGTTACAGTTGAAGTCTTGACGAGTTTGTCGCGGGTCTGTCTGCCTCACTCACGAAGGAACTCTCTCTCTCTCTGAACAAAATGTGTTTGGTTTTATTTCGTACTAGTATTCGTCTAAAAATAGTCCGACGCAAACGTCCACATATTTACACATCTCTGGAATTTATTCTATGCAGGAATTTCCCGCATTATAAAAATTTGATTTGTGGGAATCGATCATAATACGCACAATCCCCGCAGTGAGTTTCAGGTCCTGCAAGTACTCCGACACTGCAGCTGTCGCGTTCTGCTTTGAAACCAATTCCATCTCCATTTTTCAGAATCCCATCAACGTTTCTTTAGTTTGTTATTGTTACGAGCTCTCATGCTAAAGGAGTACGAGATCGCGCGAGAGTTCACTCCTTCCACACTAAGAAAACAGGAGGAGAGGGGTCAGCTGGGCCCCCTGTGCACCGGAGCACAGAGAGGGAGAGAGACGAAGTAAACGAACAAGCAGGAAAATGAAACTTATCGTCTTAATTTTTTTTTACCGACCTCAAAATAATTTATCGTGCGATTAATTGATTTATTTACTATCTCGACAGGCCTATAAACAAGATATTGTTTATTTAATCAGTTTCAGAGCATAGATCTCTTTCACGGTGGTAAATTGTTTCATCATCCCTGAACTCTGTTTTCCTCTCTGCCCCCCACCACCAGATGAAGATGCTCTCCAGATTTCCAGGCCTTTCTACACCCACTCAGTCATCAGCAACTATTACACCATACGCAGAGAAGAGTTGACCAGGTTGGCCAAGTAAGTGAATGATTTATTCACAAACAAAATGAGTTGCATTAATGTTACGCATCTTTAGTTTTGCCTGTGGAAGTTTTATCTAAGTTCTCGTGCTGATTTTCCGTCATCTCCTCAGAAACAAGTGGTGTGCAGACTGCCTTATGATTGACGGCTTGGTTGGTCATTGTGGTGAACGCCTGACCAACCTTTGGAAAAGAGACGATGGTGGGACAGGGCAGTACCCCCCACCTACACTGCATGTAAGAATGCAACATTTATGTTTTTGAGGTACTTTCTTCTGTGCTGTTTTAGTGAAGGGTTTCAATTATACACCTGTAACCCACAGGCTTTGCTCGACATCTATCTGCTGGACAACATCGATGAAGCTACCAAACATGCAATCGTATCCTTTGACTCATTCTGCTGGTTTACTGAATCCATCAGCCTCAGTAGGTTTGGATTTTCCATCCATTATCTTCTGCTTATTCTGAGTCGGGTCACAGGGGCAACAGCTTGAGCAGGGAGGCCCAGACCTTTTTTTATCCCCCAGCCACCTCTTTCTGCTCTTCTGGGAGGACTCCAAGGCATTCTCAGGCCACTCGAGAGACGGCCTCTCCAACATGTCCAGGAGACATCCTTACCAGTTAACTGAACCACCTCAACTGGTTCCTCTCGATGTGGAGGAGCAGCGGCTCTCCTCTTGAGTTTCTCCCAGATAACTGAACTTTTCACTCTATCCCTAAGGAAGAGTCCAGCTATCCTGTGGAGAAAACTCATTTCGACCGTCTGTATCTGTGATCTCGTTGTTTCAGTCACTACGCAACGTTTGTGGCCATAGGTGAGGGTAGGGATGTAGACCTTACAGCTCAGCTCCCTCTTCACCAAAACAGATGTTATAGAATCAGCAGTACTGTGGAAGCTGCACTGATGCATCTGTCAACCTCACGCTCCATTCTTCCCTCACTCATGATCAAAACCCCGAGACACATAAACTCCTGCATTTGACACATCATCAAATAGCAGAGATAAAATCCTGATACCACTGGACTCCCTCCGCCCCCTGGCTGCACCGGGAAATTCTGTCCAAAGTTTATTTATTTATTTATTTATTTATTTGGTTTAACATGATTAATTCAACTTTGTTTTGGACCCTTGACTTGTGGTTCCAGGTGATTTACCTGTTGCTGGATGTCATGTACTCCTTCCCTAATAAAGATGGAGCATCAGTGGAGTCTTTTCCCACAGCTTTTGCCATCCCCACCGGACTGGTCAAACTAGTGCAGGGCCTCTGGCTGCTGGATCATCATGACCATCAGGTGAAAACTGCTACAGCACTTAGGTCTATCATTTAGTTGTCTAATAGAAAGGTAAAATTCTATTTAGTTAAATATTTTTATTGTCATTACAACAGACTTCCTGCAACATTCAGCGTCTGTTTTTTTGTTACACTGAGCTTATTTTCCTCTTCTAGACTTGCTAAAGTTTGTTTACACAAACAGCTGTTCGATCACAATCTTCTGCTGCTTGTGATGTTCTTTCTGATAACATCTATAATGATTGATTAATCGTGTTTCCATCCAGTTGTAGTGAATTTTTTATCGAACTTTTCAAAATTCGCAAAAAGTTAAATAAATAAAAATTCTAATCTAGACTGTTTCCATCTAGTTTCCCTCTCGACTGTTTGATGCGAATAAACGAGGCAATGCAGCACGTGATTACGTCAGACGTCGTCGACAAGCTTTGCGGTAGTAAACAGGAAGTGAAACTTGCTAACTAGCAGAGGCTAATCATCTCGGCACAATGGAGCGATTTTTTCGTGATTGCCTTGCTATTGGGCAAGTTGTAATTATTACAACTCATTATTATTATTATTATTATTAGCGGAAACAGCTGAATGTCACGTGAGGTAAAAATGCGCTATGTCAGAATTTATTTGGCAAACGTGTTTCCATCTCCCGTTTTGTGCATTAACTACTTTGCAAATCATCCAAAAACAACCTCAAGCGAGCTTAAAAACCTTTTAGCGAATTTTGGATTTTTTTTTTTTCGAATTTTGCTGTTTCCGTCCGACTTTTTTGCATTTTTAATGCGACACTTCTAAATGCGCATCAAAAAAGCCTTGATGGAATCATGGTTATAGTAGATATTTCTGTTGATTAGCTTTCCATTTAATTTTTTTATGTAGTATGAGAGTTGTTTTTCCCTATTTATTTGGTCTGTTTGTATGGTTTATCATTATTTGTGTATTGTCATGCTTTGTTTTTAATAGTTGCAGTATGTGAAGCACTTTGGCCAACAGTTGTTTTTAAATGTGCTGTATGTACAACTTTCCTCAAATCAGTGTCACTTCATGCATCCAGTTATTGTTGACTTATACCTATTGAACTTACATAATTTACAATAACTTAATTTGAATACACTTCTGTTAAATAATAATGTTTTGATGTTTGTGTTTCCTCATCAGAGTTCCTTTGAGCTGCTCCTGCATCCAGCAGCTTCTCAGTTTTATTTTGAGTGGCAGCACGAGCGTGTCCTACAGGCTCTGATGTGCCAGGGTCAACAGTCGGTGGCGCTTCGGTACTTTCATGTCACAAATCCCCCGATTACTTCCACCTCCCAGGCCAAGCTTTGTGTGTCCGTGCTGCTGCACAACAGGTGTGTTCAGTAGTCGAACTGTCTCTGTGTAAAAACAGTTGTTTCGTTTTATTTTGGCCAAACAAGACAGCGTGCTTCTTCTTCTAGGTGTCTTATTGAGGCGTGGTGTTTGCTTCGGCAGCACTCAAATCGTCTCAACATTGTGGAGCTGCTGGGCTTCCTGTATGAAAGCTGCCAGGAGCTGAACCTCATCAAAGAGCTGCTCAAACTGCCCCTGGGCCTCAATGAACAGGTAAACAGTCGGGCGCAAGAACTCTTAGGTTGGGAGGGTAATATTACTGTTAAACCTTTTTTATGGTTGCCTCAAAGGTTGTTTTTTTTATTTATAGGTCTTTGTTGATCTCCTAACCTATGGATTTTGTTTGATTTTAGGAATGTTTAGAGAAGTTCCTTCAAGGTACAGGAGGTCTGCAGAATCGAGAACTTCTAATGGTTCATTACCTTCAGCAAGCCAACTACATCCCTGCTCTGCAGCTCAACCACAAACTCAAGATGAACCTTGTGGTATGTGTGGAAACATAAACACATAATTATGCAGATAACCTGAGCCAGAATCTTTTGTAATCAAAATAATGGGTGGTTCTTTAATGAAAGGTTTCGTCTCTTCTCCAAGAGACTTCTTCAGTCTGACTAAATGTTTCATTAAAGAACCCGTCCAGAGGACCTACTCAGGGTATTTATTCCAAGTATAATTCGAAAAATTAAATCCATAAAATCATCCATAAAGTTGGGGGGGGGGGGGGTAGTACTATACTTGGATAAATATTTTTACTTGCGTATTTTAACTGAAATATCGGCTTCATTCACAAAATGCCTKAGTCCCGAAATGAGACCGCATCGAAAAAGCAATTGAAACGAGCTCAACTGTGACACTATTCTGTGCTTCAGAGCGAGATAATAACAGATCCAAGCAGGTGACATGATGTGAAAAAAAGGGGGGGAAGTATTCCTGCACCTTTAGTAATGATAACAAACTAATAACGTTAGCGTGTGACTGGGCCGCTCCTCGAACAACAACAAACACATGTTCGTCTGTAATGGCTGCCGTCTACCAGTGTTCTGAAAAAGTTTGTATCCCTGAAAAAATGTTTCCCCACCAGAGGGGGCGCTCGTGAGTCGGAAGTAATCTGCTTTTCCCCCACAAGATGGCCCAAATCTCATGWGAAGTCTCTGACTTTTGTGTTGGCGCCTCCTGGTGGACTATGTGTAAAATGCCAGAATTCATATGATGCTGCTACAGCTGATATATATTTGTTGTCTAAATACCTTTTATTACATGTGTTGTTAAAATAAAATGAACAGTCCAATGATCATTTTACTGATATGTATAAAGGCTGAAAAATCTTGAAGTCTGTATGAAATTGGTGGTAGTTTGAGGATTAAAATTTTTTAATGCTTTTTAAGCTCAAAAAGGGGGGGGGGGGGGCTCGTATTATACATGAGATCATATGTATTAGACACGAATAAATACAGTAATTATTTTAAAAAAAATCTACCTGGATTACTGAGATGCATCAGGACAATATTTTCTGATATTTATGATCAGTTATTTTTTAAATTTATAATCAGACTTAAAATAAACAGTTTAATTTTATGTGATTAATAAAAATATTTCCACTATAAAAATTAAAATTTTCTTCACCTTAAAAACACTTTTTCTTTTTTCCTCCTAGAATGAGCGAGACCCGAAGCTGAAAGAACGGTTCAACACCAGAAACTCCATATTGGATCAGTACGGGAAAGTTTTACCCAGAGTACAGAGAAAACTGGCCCTGGAGAGAGCCAAGCCCTACCAACATCTCCACACCGTCCACAGAGAGGGTAAGGAGCTACACAACTTACATTCACATCTAAAACACTTTATCACACAAATACTGTGATTAAATGATTTGCTCACTCATTTCTTTTTATTAAGACTTTAAGCACAAATAACGTTGCGTCCTGCCTTTCAGTTTCTCGGCCCCAGCCGCTGTCGACCATCACAAAGCGCCCAGCCAGTGAGAAGATGATGTCCAGAGCAGGATTCATCAACAACCTCCTGACCAAGATCGAGGAGGTGTGGTTGGGCAAAGACGCTACACCACATTCTACACCAAACAAGACGTGAGAATAAAATACTCAAAAATCACCTCGATGTTAATGTCTTTCAAAATGTTGATGGAATTCGATCTTTTCCAGCTCAAGGACAGCTGCTGTTCAGAACTCCAGCCCCAAGACCCCCACCCAGGCTTTACCTGATCCCTTCCTAGGAACTCCAGTCAGCATGACGTCCAAACGAAAGTCAAGGTACTGAAGAAATTTATTGGGGTTTGCTTAAATACTGATCTTAATTACACTACACATGGTATATTATTAGGGGAAATGTAATATCTGTTAAATGTGATCAGTTTGCTTAAATTGATGATTTAATTGATATATGCCTGAACACAGATTCAACACATAACTGAACCATTAATCTTCATTAGGGCAGATTATTATTGTCTGGGGTCATGGCTTAAACTCTTGAGCCCCATCGGGGGCAAAACAGTTTTTTCTGTTTTCTATTTCTTTTAACTTCTTAAGATCTGTCAGTTGAACCTGGACATGTTTGGTATCAAAAAAAAAACAAAGAATCTCGGCTAAAAGCTCATGGAAACTATTTTTACATCCACCAAACACATTTCAAACATCAAGTACCTGAATCAGAAAGTTATCAAAATGTAAAAAATGGCATCATTTCAAATCTGTAAATATATTCAAGCAAATCTGTAAAAGAAAAATTTTTGACATTTTTTTTAAAGCAAGTCAAAGTAGATACTTAAATATGTTGTAAAGTGGGTTGAAAGTTTTTTTTTCCCACTTGATTTTGAGTGAATATGATCCAACTGAAGTCAAATATAATTTCTCATTATTTCATATAATATATATGGCGACAAATAAATGTTTGGATAATTTTTCAAAAGAACAAACATTCAATAACAAGTCTGTTAAGGCAGGTAAGAAAAAATAAATAACTTTTAGATATAAAAACTTAAAGGGATCCCCGATTAGTTGTAACATTAGACTTTATTTGATAAACATATACTTTAACCGCAAAATAAATAATGTAAAAATATTGTAGGATGTTCAGTTTTTATCATTTTTAAACTAAAAGTTTAAAAATATATTTTAACACGGACGGGGCCATTTTATTTACATGAAAAGCATTCTGGGTAAATGATGACATCAACTAGGTCATCAGTGCGAGGCTGCTAGTGAGCTATATCCACCCTGAAGGTTAATCTTGGACAATATCTGATGATCGACTCTTTTAAATGAAACCAGATATAGCTCGCTAGCAGCCTCGCACCAATGACCTATCCACGTCATCATTTACCCAGAATGCTTTGCATGTAAATAAAATGGCTCTGTCCATGTTAAAATATATTGTAAAAAAATTACAAAACTAAACTTCTTACAGTATTTTTACAGTCTTTATTTTACTGTTAAAATAAATGTTTATCAAATAAAGTTTAATGTTACAACTAATCATGGGTCCCTTTTAAGATTTCCTAATGTTGATTAATGGTATCTACATGGTTCATCCTGTGCAGAATGACAAAATTCAAAATTATTTCTTTACTAAAATCTGTGTAACTTTGCTCCAGTTAAATTTAACAGCATGAATCTTTGCACAGGTAATGTCCACAAGTAGGTTTATGGTTTCCAAGAGTTTTTAGCCTGATTCATTATGGTTTTAAATAGTTTATATTCTGTCTAATGAAAAAAAATTATTCAGGTGTGGGGGAAAATGTTCCATCCCCAATATCTCTAAAGCCACAGCTGTTGTTTTAATACTTACACTTCTGATGAAATGTCCCATGTGTTAGCTTTATTTTGAGACCAAGTTTAATTAAATAGAGTTTGTAAATGCTGATATACTCATTTACATTTCGGAGTAGTATTTTGAGCAAAAAAAATGAAGAAAATCCCTTGGGGCTTAAAAGGTTTAGCGATGTTGGGGACCCCTTCCTGATGACGTAATAAAGTAGGCGGAGTCATAGGCGGAGACTTCAGAAAAACGGGGCTGAACGCGGAACAATAAATGCCTTCAGACAGAGCTGCTGCTCTGTGGTGGTGCTGTTTGAACTCTTTTCTATTCAATTTCCAAGCATTTGGTACATTTTCGGTGTGGTTCAAGCACATAAGGTGGTAAACGAACACGCTTAACAATATTTCCTTCAGTACTCAGAAGGTCTTTTAATGAATGCCCATGGGTTCAGTTGTTTATTAATCCTGATCTCCAACCTATACCATTTGTGGATATGAAAATTAAACAATTTTTTTAAACTCTTTTATTATATTTGTGTAATTATGTAGTGTTGTTACCTCCATTCAGAATTGTTCTGTTTGCCTCTCGAAATGATTTAATGCTTTGTTTGTTTTTCTTTTCAACGTGACTCAGGTTGATGGATTTGGTGGTCCACCCCACCTGTCACACTCCTCGTCCTCTTCTCAGCCCCCCCAGGCCCCCCAGCTCCTGGGTTTCTCCAAAAAGCATCAGCAAAGCGCCTGAGCTCAGTTTGCTGCAAACACCGCAGGTTGTCAAAGTGAGTGGACAGAAATAGACTTTTTGAAAAGGTTTCCCCTGTTTGCTGTTACTCATCTTTTTTTTTATGTTTCCCTTCCCCTCGCAGCGAGCTCGGGCCTTGGCTGCTTCTGGCCCCGTCTTTTCAGCTTTCACTCCTCAGTCCATCCTTCGCAGCAGCCTGAGACCCACACCTGTTGCGACGCCTTCTGCCTCTCCAGGACGCTCCATCACCCCCCCAATCCGCAGCAAAGAGAGCAGGATCACCTTCATCGAAGACGCAGAGGCCCCTGAAGCAGAAAAGGCTGTACGTTGGACTAACGGGGTAAGACCCAGCATACGGTCAATAACGTGTTTCATTTGTTGTGGGTTTGATTTTATCTTCATAAATAAATATGCCCGTTCATTTGGATTCATTTGTTTAAAGATGGCAGCAGACAGTGAGATCAGTCAGCTGAACAGAGGCTCCGCAACCTCCAAAGTTGGACGTAAGACTTGGTCTTCACAAGCAGCCGAGGTGGAAGGAGGTGAGGAAAAGCAGCTTCCTCGGGTAAAGTTCTTGTCTCCGGAAGGTGAGCCCCCCTCACCACAGCTAAGTCGTTGTGAGAGCGGCGACTCTTTCACCCACGAGGTGGCTGCAGAAACGAGCCCATCAGATGCAGCACGTCCACGTTTTAGTCTGAGCTTTGACACCAGCCAGGCGTCCATTCGGTCAACAGACACAACTCAGGAGTACTACGACGCCCCGCTCGCCGAAGACCACAGAGGAACACAAAGCCACACAGGTGCAGATGATGATGATGTGGTGACAGTGAACATCAAGTCTGTGACTAAAATGGAAGAACCAGAGGAAAATCCCGATGCAAGCACTGAACAGAACCTTCAGCTTCTTTCTGAGGATTCTGAGAAGGAGGAAGAGTTTTGTAAAGTAAACAGACCAGAGGAAGAGATGGAGGGTGGTCCTAATGTGGAGGTGAACGATGAAGAAGAAGCAGTGGATTCTAAAAGGGAAGAAGATCAGAATATTGTATCAAATAGTGAACAAGAGGATATTTCAGTTGTTACCCAAGTAGAGCTACTTCATAGCAAAGGTGGGTTATTTTTCTAATTTGTGAAATTTTTCTGATGTGAAAGATGCACAAGTTGGATGTTAAATAAAATGTGTTTTAATTAACATTGTTAATTTGCCACACTTTGCTCTACCTTGTATGCTGGCAGATGGTAACCAGGTGACTGAGAGCTCCGACTCTGATGTCAAATCTGAGAATCTTACAGTGAAAATCCAGTTGGAGTCCACTGAATCCTATGAGTTGACTATAGAGGAGCCTAAACCACCTGGAGAAGCTGAAACTCCAAATGAAATGGATCTGGAGCAATCCACAGGTTAATTTATTTAAGAACTAGCTGCAAACGAACCCTTCCTAACACTACAACTGAATCTGTGTACACATTACTGTCAAGTCTTTAGAATAATTGAAACCCGCGATTGTAAAACGAGCATGCCTGCTGTTAGTGAAAACATTGATAAGCGCAGCTTTAATAATAAGTCTTGTTTGTTTTCAGATCTCACACAGTTTGTTCAGCAGCACCTGTTTGGTGGTGATTTGTCTCCTTCACTCAGCCGCTCAGCGATCCACAACGCTTCACTAAACCAGACTTCCTTCAACAGGTGAGGACATTTTTTCTGCTCTCGAAACAAACGACACTCAGCTGAAAGTGCTAGTGTTTTACTGTTGAGCTGTTTATGTGTCTTTAACAAGAACAGAAATCATCTTTACACTTTTATCTCATTAAAACATTTGGTTCATATTCAGCATTTATTGTATTTATTCGAGTATAATACGTAAAATTTAATCCATAAAATCATGCACAAAGTTGTGGGGTAGTACTATACTCTGATAAATATTTTTGCTGATGTATTTTAACTGAAATATCGGCTTCATTCTCAAAATGCCTGAGTCTGGAAATGAAACCCCATCGTAAAAAACGGTTAAAGCAAGCTTACCTCTAAAACTCCTCTGTGCCTCTGAGCGAGATAATAACAGATCCAAGCAGGCAACTTGATGTGAAAAAAAAGGCAGTCCTGCAGCTAAGTAATAATAACCAACTAATGACAATGTGACTGAGCTGCTCCTGGAACAACAACAAACACATGGTCGGCTGTAATGGCTGCCGTCTACCGGTGTTCTGTAAAAGTTGGTCTACCTGAAAAAAGTTTCCCCACCAGAGGGGGGCGTTCACGAGACACAGAGCATGAGATTGTTGTTGAGTGGGATTCTGCTGCCTTTATTACAGAGGAGGAATACCAGAAACTTTTAATGATACTGATGATGGTGAGCCTGAATTTGAAGGCTTTGATTCAGCTTCATCCACACTTGTTAGAGCCACACATCAGTTTGTTATATCACACCAGTTAACAAATGAACATTTGATAGTTTTTGTTGTAGTTATACATTTGTTGTTGTGTACCTTTTAGTACATATATTGTTAAAATAAAATTAAAAACTGATACATAATTTTAATTATATATACTGCAAAGGCTGAAAAATCCTGAAGTCCATATGAAATTAGAGGTAGTATGAGAATTACATTTTTTAGGCTTCTTAAGTTAATATACACGAATAAATACAGTAATAATCTGTTAGTGAGCTGCCATTACGTTGTAGTTCTGCAAGTCTGGGATAATATTTAGAGTTGCAAAAATGGTTAAGTTGTTTTGTCAAGTAAAAAAAATGTCATTTCCACTCTCATCCAGTGAGTCATTAGAGGTCGAAGAGGAGGATCAGCCTGCTGCTGAATATTCCTCCATGTTTCCCATCAAAACATCAGCTTCTGTCAGGTCCTCTGAGCCGACGGGTTCCGACTCTCACTGTGAGGATGATTTAAAACACACAAACCACAGCTCTGTTAGTGTTTGTGGAAGTTTCCTCAAACGCTCTCGTTTTTCTGTTTGTGCTCGTAGCTGTTGTGAGTCTCAACGATAGCGAAGAGCTGTCTAGTCCTGCATCTGAGGAAGAAGAGGAGGAGGAGGAGTCTGATCAGGAGGAAGAGGAGGAGGAGTCTAATCAAGAGGAAGAGGAGGAGGAGGAAATGGAGGACTCTGGTAGTGAGGTGGAGATCATCGAGGAGGTCCAGGGTAACGGGACCCTTCCTCCCCTCCAGCCTAGTGAAGCCTTTATGCAGCAGGAACACGCGCACTTCCTGTCAGAGCAGGAAGCCGCTGCGTTCTCTCTGATCACAGCAGGTGCAGAGATGAAGGTAACACCTGCAGACCTGCAACTAGCAGACTTAATAATTTAATCAGTTAATAAGAACAATGTTTACTTTAAACTAGGACTGTCAAATGATTAATATTTTTAATCAGATTAATCCCAAAGTAGCTGTGAATTAATCATGATTAATCTTAAATTTAATATATATTTCTATTGCATATTGATAAAATAAATTACTTGAGTTATTAATTAGTTTTTAATGTTTTTATTTAGAAAACAAAATTGATGCTCCGACATGATTTTTTGAATATGAAACAGGATCTAAAGAATGCTCCAAACATATTTGAGTCAGTTACATTTTGTGCAGAATAATGAGGTTAAATCAAGAATTCAAGGATTTTCAGTCCAAATGACTACATGAGGAATGAAAGATAGATACTAAGGTCACAGTTGTCAGCAAAACGTGAATAAATAAAAATAAGCCAAAAGACAAAAAGAAAAAAAATTGTACATAATGTGTTACTCATGGAGTTTTTTTTATTTCATTTATTTATTCTTTATTTATGCAGGTAAACTGTTTGAGAACCACTTCTCATTTAGAAACATGACCTGTCATGCATTGTAATATACAAACCTACATATTCAGCCATAATAAAGTGACTGTAAATTTTAATTGTGATTAAAAAATTTTAATCTATGCCCAGCAGTAAAATTAATCAGAGTTAACTCGATTAATTTCACAGCCCTACTTTAAACAAATTAAGATTCTACAGTTCTCTTGTAATATTCAGTACTTTCCACAACTAGATGTCCAGAATCTGTGTATTTGCCTTTTCACAGATGGTGGACGACGACATGGAGGGTGAGGTGGTGATGGTCAGACTGGGTTCAGATGATGGAGGCATGGATCCAGATAACGTGGAGCAGGGCTCAGCGTTCATGGAGCTCAAACCTTCCAGCACTCTTCTGGTGCCCGTGGAGCTCGTTGAGGGACAGCCCAGTCTGGAACACGTCACTCAGGTGGACCTTCCTGAGCTTCAGCCAGCTGCTGCAGAAGATGGACCACAGTCTGACTCTCACAGCAGCTTCACGCTGATGCTGAATGTAGATCAGTACGAGGTTAAAGAGACGACGCTTCCTGTTGAGAACAGCGTACAGGTGTCTGACTCTTCCTCCCAGCCTCACAGAGAAAGTGCTTTGGCTGAACCGGATGTAATTCCTTTAGAGACAGATGTCACAGATCCTTCAGTGTTTGAACCTTTACAAGAGGACAAAGGAGAAGAGATGGAGAGCTGCGATGAAGATAATGTTGATGGACTGAGAGAACCAGAGGTCCAAACTGACTTACAAGCTGAAAATACTGCAGCAAAGCTGGAGGCAGAAGAGATTGGAGAACAGAGAGATCAACAGTTTATGTTGCTTCAAGATCATGAATCAGTTTCTGTGCCATGTATAAACGCAGAGATTCCTGCAGCTGTGAAGGACAACGACTCCGTGGAAAAGACAAGGTCTGCAGAGGAGATCAGAGAGGAGAGTGTACCAGAGGAGCAGAAACCTCAGGGGAATGGACCTGTTGATACCGGCACAGACACTGAAGAAAACAAGTCTCCTGTAGAGAAGACAAACCAGCCTGAGGCTTCAGCAGAGACCCCACTGAAGTCAGAGGAGAACACAGAAGAGAGATCGAGGAGAAGAACAAGGAATAAAAATGCTGAAGAGAAACCTGTAGAGCAAGTTTCGCTCTCAGAAAGCCATGCAGACAAACGGTCAGTACCACAGACCCCCACCTCTCAGAGGAAGAAGCCAGCTCCTACGCCAACCCGGAGGATGACGAGAGGGCGGGCCGTTTCGTTTGTGACAATACCCGAGGCAGCAGATGAGCCAGAGCAGGGTGCAGGAACAAGCTCACCCAGTCGCACCTCAAGAAAAGGCAAACGGGTTAAAGAGACCAAAATCCAAACCAGCACACCTCAACGAAGCACCCGCAGCACTCAGCCAGATCCTCCTAAAGATGAGGTCGATGCAACAAACGACATCTCAGCTGCTTCAGCCTCAAAGACCTTCACTCCAGCAAGACGTTCTCTCAGATCCACTTCAACACGAACGAGCCAGAGGCTTCTAGACGGCAGCAAGGACAAGACTGCAGCCACCGAGGCTGAAATCAACTTTAAAGAGGAACAACAGGATGAGGACGTGGATAAAAAGGTTGATCATAGAACAAGCTCCAGGACTCCAGCCTCGTCCAAACGCAGCATGACTCAGATAAACGCTCCCAGGAGATCAAGCCGAACGTCGACGCCACTTAAAATGGTGATAGAAGAGAGAGAGCAGGAGGAGCCTGTTGTCCCTTCAGTGAAACGCAACTTCAAAAGAACAGAACTGGAGCTGCTTTCACCCATGAAAGAGGAGGAGGAGGACAAGGAGCAACTTTCAAGTCCTCGGAGGGCAACTCGACAATCTACACAGACGACCCTAAATCTGATGCCACAAGTAAGAATCCTCGTCTAACCCTGGTGTTCAGACTGTTTGTCATCATTTACCGTATTTATTCATGTATAATATGATCTCTAATACTGTACGATCATCACTTTTTAAGCTTAATAAGCATAGAAATTGTAATCATCAATAACCCATGTTATACTGTATAC